ATAGTGTAATTACTAAACCTATTTTAACTTATGAATATCCATGTAATACAAATAAATAAATGATTATGATTATGATTAGTAGTTACATCAGCTAACTGCAAAGTGCAAATAAAAGTCTTGCAAAATCGATCCAGCTACCAGAGGCCTTAGTACGAGTTTGATTTACGTTTAAAGTATTCGAAACGATTATGCGTTCGGCACTGTGATTGGCCGGCACCAATGAAGCAACCAATCACAGCGCCGAACGCGTACTCGTTACGATTACTTTAAACGTAAAACAAACTCGTACTAAGGCCTCAGGTTAGACAGACAAAAATTGTAAAAAATTATGATTTGGTTTGTGTATCATATTTACCTACCTATATTCATATGCATGTAGTAAAAGTAATTATTTTAATATTACAAACAGACACTCCAATTTTATTTGTCTGCATACTCTGCATAGATGTATAGATTCTATCAGTAAAAGCCAAAAGGCTAGGTCTTAAAGTTCAAATCATTGTAAAAGGTCATCTATATACTTGCTATTAGTTTTTTTTTCTCCTTTTTGGCAACTGAGATTGCTATTAGTTGTTACGCGACTTCAAAAATGAAGTCTGTCAGTTTGACCTGTATGCAAGTTTGTCCACGATTGCTGAATCAGTTACGATGCAATTTTCAGAAAAGCGTTTTTTACACCTAATTAGATGCAGGTTGATAAAGGTAGATAAAGGTTTCTGTACCTACCTAGTGGAATTTTAGTAGATTGATGTAGTTTATTACCCCCCTCCCCAATTTCGATCTCTTTGACTGGATTTTGGTGTTACATCGTCTCGCACAATCGAACCAATTAAACTGTGTAACTGGAAAATTGTATTGTGAGCCTGATTGGAAACGAGTAACCTATGGAGTTTATTAGTTTCTTGCTCGTTCTTCGCCATAGGAATCTACACCTTGGAATGAGCAAATAGCTTCACTTTTAAATTTCTATTGCTGACCTTCAAAAGTGCCTTCCTGGTCTAGTTGAAATAAATGATTTTGACTTTTAACCAATCTCCAAAAGGCCGGTAACACATTACCTGCCTTTAAGCCTGGCTCGGTCCTGTGAGCCTCTGGTGTTCCAGGTGTCTATGGGCGACGCCGATTGCTTACCATCAGGTGATCCGTCAGCTCGTTTACCGGCTTATTTCAAAAAAAATTGGGCCATACGTTACGAAAGCGTCGTTTCACGTCTGACTTTTATGCGGCCGTTGTATCACCTCCAGTCAAGCCACAGACTACTAATAAATAATAAAAATAAAAAACGTTTCTCTTAAAATCGTTTCTTTAATAGTTTTATGGTTTAATGGAACAGTACAATAATAGCATTTAGCAATATAAAAATCTCATTATTTAAATATTATGTAGGAATATTTAAGTACATTTCGTAATACCTAAAAAGTTTATGCATAAAAAATGTTTCTATGACTAAATACTCATTTGAGATAACAGATTAACGAAAGATTTTAAAAATATCTCTGGACCCGATGAATCTGGTCTACGATGGAGCACGTTGCATGAAGCAACATAAACATTTCCAATCTTAGTTTTTGACAGAAACTTGACATTCCATAATGTTTTGTTCAATTTATTAAAATTTCGCATTGAGATCACTTTAATTTCAGCCATGTTTGACAACAAAAATTGCATTTACGCGCCAAATTTTTGACAGATACTACAGATAAAAAAATGGAGTCCTTTAGGCTGCAAGCACAATAAACAAATTTTTATGTATTAGTAATTTAGGGCATAATAAACAAATTCATAACAATATAAGTAGTTTAGTGATAGAAACAATTTTTATTACGGTCTAAACTAGATGTAATCTTACATACTTCTTGAAACGTAATTAAAAAACGGGAATGCTATTGAATGAAACTGAGATTTATATTAAAATACTAAACATACGTTATTATTTTTAAGAAAGCAACTACAATTTTATTTTCCATTTTCTCTTCGAAGTAAATTTTTTGCATGCAACAGTAGCAACAGTTAAGATAATCTATTGTTTAGTGTTGTCATATTATGAAATATTTGACAGTGACTTTAATAGACACAAGCGCCATCTAGTAATAGCAGAAACAATAATTTTTATTCCAGTTTTGATTCAAATATAAAAATTCGATTTCTTTTGATTAAAATCAGTAATAAACCCAACACAAATTCAATTCACAACAAAATTTTGAAAACAAATGTAAATAAATACATATTTTAGTAATTAAATATTGCTATTTATACACAAGGCCTATAACTAGACTTTAAATTGTATACAGTATTAAATTACATTATATTATACGGCTTACTCACGTAACTATTTACGAGATTACTTGCCAACCCTCATTGAGCAACCGTATGCTTAACACGTTAAACGCCATGGCAGACACCGGTGACCGACATTAGCGGAGGATTTGCCTTCAACAGTTTTTTATTGGCAGCCAATGCCTTAATAGTAATGCTCAAACCCTTTTCCAAGTGAGAAGAGGCCTTTGGTCAGCAGTGGGCACTTATAGGCTGTTGATGATGATGATGAAACTTGACGTTTAGTTACCCGAGTATACCGTATCACATAATTAATTGATTAAATCTCATGATAGCTATAATACAAAACTCACTAGTCAGGTATACATAAAACCTTGGCTATCGTCTACCCATGCGACAGGCCTGCGGACGGCGAGCATGGGGAGTAGCCAGACCCGGCTAGGCTAGCTCTAGGCGGCTCTAGCGGACTAGGCTCTTTGAAGCGCGCTTCAAAGAGCCGTCAGACCATCACGGATGGGGCCCAATAGGGCTGATGCCGATACGGAGCCGTGGAGAACGTAAAAGGTTACCAGGGCTCCGGCTCGAAGAGCAGGAGTAGAAACGCGGTTGTTTTTAGTCAGTAAGAGTCTGTCACTATCTCCCTTACCCAGGCGAGAATTTTGATGATTTTTCCCCCTTAAAAAATCGTTTATCTATAGGTACAGATTTACAGAAACTATAATAAAACACTTTTCCAAGAATTTCATTGCAAAACAAATTTAAACAAAGACTTTTTTGAGACGGAAAAATCATCGACTTCTCTCACCTTGAATGACGCGAGAGAGAGCGCCAGACTCTTACTGACTCAACACCACCACGTTTCAACTCATAGATCGCCGTCCACCTGCAGGTTTGGTTAGAACAAAAGCGAAGGTTTGCATATAATTATAACTATTACTATCGATATTCTCCAGTCCATCTTCTAACAAAAACATCAAAAACATTACTATAAAAATCTCACGAAACTCGATAGCAGTGCCATCTATGATTCGCAAATTCAGTACAGAACTATTCTTATGGCCCCAAAATATAGGCTAACGTTTTCAAACAAGCTTAGCAATAGTTATTGTGATGGATTAAGAAACAAAATATATATGAGTAGTAATAAGATGCTAAAAGGCAGACTTAATCAACAACATACCTACTTGAAAATTATTGTGATGTTATTTAGAATCCAAAATCCAATGTTATTTTGAAAAAACAGGCTTCAATGAATATTACAGGCACTAGTATCAGTGCAAGAGGACCGGACATAAATAAACGGTTTTTATTGTTGCCTTGTTTCAATAAAGCCGATCCGATTTAAAGTAAGCGACGCGTTCGACGCTCTGAATGGAGTTGGTTCATTGGAGCCGGTCAATCAGAGCGATGAACGTGTACTCGTTTCGAACGATTACTTAAACGTTTAACAAACTCGGAGGTAGGCCTCAGATGATTGTGTATTGTCGATGGCTAATTAAATTCATCGACAGAAGCAACAACAACGGTGTATATGGGGAAAAAAATTGACAATTGGTGGAAAAAAGAAAAAAATACAAAAATATTTGACTAGACACATAATCCGGTCCCCTACTTATAAAAATTTTGAATTTTCTAAAGAATATAACCACTAAAATTAATACCTTTTCGCCCCTAAGGGATAGGCAGATCATTCGACATCAAAAACACGGATATAACATAATTTCCTCGTACATTAAAAATTCCGCGATTAAAAAAAACATAATAATTATCTTAAAACAACAACTTATCTACATTAAAGACTTTTTGCGCGAAAAACGATACCAAATCGATATACGTATAGATGTAATTTCCGTTTACGATAAAGTAATGACGTAAAAAAATCATAATTACATTAACACACTTAAATTATGCAATTTTTTAAAACGATCACCTAATCTTTAGTAGGTAAAAAATGACAGACAATAAAAAAATAAAAACTAAAGAGCTTCTGTCTTGTATTTTGGCAGTGCAACAATAATTAGACGCTACTCAAGAAAACCTTAAAAAGCCAAATCAAAAGCCGAACAAATAGAAAAGAAAACAATAGTTTCTATTTAAAATTTAAATTTTCGTAACTTTTAGCCGAGGCAGTGTACAGCAATAACTTCGCTATTTTATCGTGATAATTAGATACGCCATCGACATTTTAATTTTTTTTTTTATAACAAAAAGTGCACTTTTAAAAACACTATTTACAATATTTACAAAAAGAAAACCGATTTCTTAAAATGAATTAGATAATAATCTAAATACTTACTTATATCAATTAATATTTATCTACAAAGATTTCAATCATTTTTATCACAATATTATTTTTTAACACTGATTTCAGCATATACTTAGCTTCGAAAAATTCGTAATCGTGACCTAACGAAAGGAGGTTGCTAACCAAACAGGTTCAAAACAAGATTCACAGACGACCTTGAGATTAAAAGCGAAATTCTGGCGGCAATATTTGACAGAATAAAAATTCGAATTTCAAATAACTTTGACACTTAAAACAGGTTGTCCATAGTGAACGGAAAACTGGTACCGACCTCCTTGGAATTATTATTAGTTGACATAAATTATTTATTATTGAAATAGGTAGGTACAGCTTGATTTCTTTGTTAGCCTTGCTTTGGAAAAATCTATCAGAATGATCGAGAAGCTACATTTTTATTAACTAACTATCTCTGGCACCCATATTTTTACAATTATAGAATAAACTTGCAGTTATTCCACTTTATTTTACTTTGTTTGGACAAAAGAGGCTCTCCCATCTGAGTTAGATCATGTCTAATGAAACTGCTATTATGGAATCTACAGAACCAAATATATTTTCCTTTTTTTTTCAAATGACGTTAACTTGTGAAGCCTAATAGATTAGCGCATAGCAAATAGATTAATATTAAACTGAATTCTTATTTTAAATTACGGTTTTGAAACAAAGGAACAATCTAGATAACCAGTTTTATAACACTAATAAAATTATTGTCGATTACTTTGCGCAATAAAGAATAGTAAAGAAAATTATAGCTAAGAATTTTAATCGGGGAATAAAAAAAATGTGCCGCATCTGATAAACGATTAGAAAAATAATTAGAAGTTGTGGTATTGGGGTAATTTACAGATTATAATAAAGAACTGTCAAAAATGCCGCCAAAAGTGAAAAATGTTAACTAACTATTGGAAAAATTGGACTTAGCAGTTTTAAAATAAGATACTTTAATTAGTTTAGTCCACAAATGGGGCAACATTTTTATCGGCTAGAACAAAATACGTAAATATGCGAAAATAGTTAACTAAAATTAGTTTTCTTTACAGATTTAGTCTGTAATTTTATCATATACGCAATTTTACCTAATTGTAACTATCATTCACCAAGTAAGTAGGTATGTATTTTATCAAGGTACCAATTTCATTTCGCAATTTATTTTTAACTAGGTACATAATTAGAACTATACACATTAAACTAATTATTGCTATAACTGGAAGTTGTTACAAAATTAAAGTAATAAAGTAATATTAAAATCTTATTTAATTAATGACTAAAATTTTTAACATCACTTAGTCCTTTAAAAAAAATATAAAAAATATACACAATTTTTTTTTGCAAATAAATAGACTATAGAAGGTACTTTTTTAATAGAGGCATTATAGAATTCAGCCTATCATTTTTTTATGTATGCTAAAGTTTATGAAAACAATAAATTTATTTTTAAGTTTGTAGTTATAATTATGTTAGTCCAGATTGTCCAGTAAATATTTCGAAGTAAAATAAGTATAAAGTCGACAGTGCCCTAGTTTAATAAACTGAAACACTTAAAATTAACACTTTGTGATCACTTGTAGAACTGAAATGGGACCGTAATATGACATTTTCGACCACCGAAGTCTTTTCACATAGCACAACACTTTTAATGAGTACCGTTAGATCCATTGGTACCATTAACTCCGTTCCCATTGGCCGTAGACTCCTGCATGCTCTTCAGATGGTACGGACTGATTGCGAAGACTTCTCCACTGACAAGGTCCTCCAGATTTTCACCACCGTAAGATAGCAATGGAGAAATTTCTACATCTATGTTGTCTTCAACAATACCACCGGCTTCTCTAACATATTTACGGTGTAATCTTAAGAGGTCCTCCCGAGCAGTCGATGGACAGTCCTTTTTAGCAGCATCGTTGTTCTTCAAAGCAGAGAATTCAACATCTCTTGCTACTTCCAAACAGATGAAGTTCTCGGCAAACTCAAACACATCAAAGATGAATTTTTCCATCTTAATTCCATTCGGTTCTGTAGGTTTCTGACGGATTCCTTCATGGTCTACGTAAGGAATCTTCTTTTTGGCAACATGGAGTTTCAGTTTCGATTCAAAATTGCAGATTTTTGTTAAGAATTGTGATGAGAAGTAGTGGTTGCAGATGTTTCCTGCGGAGAATGTGAGTCTGCCGTCAGCTGTTCTACTTTCTGCGGCTTCATCAGTAAGTTCAGAGTACTCTACTACCTTGTAGTGACCATTTACTCTGCAAACAACACCTACAGCTTCACTTGGTGTGGACTTCTGTACGACTTTGGCTGCACAATCAGCATTTTTGCTCTTACAGTAGCCTATAAACACGGGGTCAGCTACTTTAATAAGGATATTGTCAACTGAATGAGCATGGAGATGCTCTACACCTCGTTTCGCTATATCAGCCAATACACCCTGACTTTTTAAGGCTCTGTATAGTCCTCCATTGCCATCTGGAGCAGATGAAACATGGTGTTTCTCATCTAAAAATATTTTTCCTTCAAAATCAAAGCATGGGAGAGTTCCCTGCTCGAAGTATACAATATCTTCCTCATTCAAACCGAAGTAGTTATGACTTCTGAAATAGTCAGCGGTTGGGCCCCTCGTGTGTTCTGAAGTCATAATGTACCAGGTAATTTTCCCCTCCTTTCCGTACTTCTCAGCGGCCATTTGTTGCACTCTGACAATCCTCTCCGCTTGAATTTGGAATAGAGTTTTTCTCGATGGTAAACCGACATCGTACATACCTTTTGGGTGGCCGAATCCAAGTCGAGTCGCCTGTCCACCGGCCAGCAACAAAACACCAACTTTCCCATCACTAATTTCTTTCAGACCAATATTTTCGTACTCCAAAATTTTTTCGTTACTCAAATTAGGCACTGCTTCATAATGAGAGTCCGGAATAGGCTTTAAATCTTCAACTTTTTCTTCTAGAATAACTTTACTTGTATCGTTAGCGCGGCGGAATAATTCGTTCACTTCGGCAAAATCGATTTTTTTTAAATCGCTCAATAGTTGTGCGCGCTCTTTTTCGGTGAGATCTGGCCAGTATTTTAATAAGTGGCCTTGTCCGTGAGAGTTTAGGTTTTCGAAAATGCTATCGTAAGACATTATTGTTTACGCGGCGACTGTCTACGGCGATTAGAAAGCGTACACTGACTACAACTCATGGTTACGAACGAGATAACATTTTCACAAAATTCTCCCACCACACGATTTTAACTAACTCGAATGCAGACACGTCGGCTTCATGTGACATTTACCAGACATTTTTGTATACAAATCTCATATTTACATTTTTGCATGCATTTCGATGTGGTAATAGCAATCGTTTTTAATATTATACAATACATTGCTGAGTTTGAATAACATTGCACAGCAATACTTCGCGCAAAACGGCATTGCATTCGGTACAGTTAATCTTCGATCGAAGATAAAATTGTAAACATTCTAATACTAGTCTCATTAGCGTTTTGAAACTTATTAGAGTTTTGACAGTTCTAAACATTGTTAAATCTCTGTACTCTTGTAACTTATATCGCCGTAATTCCATAATAACGTAAGTAATAATGATGCAATACCCATTTGTAAGTATTTTAATTAATTAAATTAAATATAATTATATTTGAAATTACTAAAATAACTTGAATACCTAGTTTCTAAACGCCTTCATAGGTTTGTCTATGAAGTTCATTGACATTTCACATTTTATATTTACTCAACAAAATTCACTCAAAAAATATTAAAAAACAAAACAATAACAAGAAAATTAATCCATACAATTTTTACAGTGAAATTTTAAAGTATTTTGTCCTAAAACTAAGATAAAATTATAAAGTTTTGACATTAGAGAAAACGTCAAACCGTGAATCCGTATTCCGTTGGAAAAAAGTTACAGCGGTAGTCTATAGGTATAATGCCATGCGGGAGAACTGTCACAAAAGATGTCAAATGGCTTCACTCAGGAAGGTCTTTATTTACTCCTGAATTTAATAGAATTCGTACTAAACATTGTGTTTAGTGTAATAAACTGTGTATTTATAATATTCAAGTTGTTATTACATTACGTTTTTAATGTAAACATGACAGAAGCGCCGAAAAAGAAGAAGAAAACTTCGAATGAACAACCTAACCAAACTGTTGCGTTCCGTGGTGTTATTGATGCAAACTGGCAAAAATTCTTATCAAGCAACCTTATTATGGACAAGAAAACGGAGAAACCGGCACAGGAGAACAGTAAAACCCAATTTTCGGGCACATTCCGTCGTGCTAGAAAGAAAAAAGCCAAAGATCACGATAAAGTCCAAAATAACTTAAAAACTCTGAATTTGACGTCAAACGCAGATAGTATAGTCAATAACGTAGATAAAGAAGTCAATAGTGAATCGAATAATGTTAATGGTGTTGTTAAAAATAATAATAATAGTAAAAAAAATCGACTTACTAAATTTCTTGCCATGGATTGTGAGATGGTGGGAATCGGTTATGGTGGCAATGATCACATGTTAGCTAGGGTGTCTATAGTCAACAAATTCGGCGACTGTATTTACGACAAGTTCGTAAAAGCGCGGGAAGAGGTGAAAGACTATAGAACGGACATCAGTGGTGTTAGAAAAGAGGATTTATTGAATGGAGAAGACTTTACAGTTGTCCAGAAAGAAGTCTCTGAACTCCTTAGAGGTCGTATACTAGTTGGACATTCGTTGAAGAATGATTTGGCTGTTTTGTTTCTGTCGCACCCTAAGAGGAATATCAGAGATACATCCAGATATAAACCGTTTAGGAAGGTAAGCATACCATATTTTTAATATTACGACTGCCTCATTGGCCGAGTGGTCGCAAGTGCGACTGCCGGGCAAGAGGTCTCAGGTTCGATTCCCGGGTCAGGCAAAGTATTACCTGGGTTTTTAAATTTTCTCAGTAGTAGCACGGAGTCTGGAATTGTGCCCGGTATATGGAAATAGGCCCCTATTACATGGGACTCATAACATAAATAGTGAAAAGTGGGTGTTACATTGTACAGTGGTATAATGTGCACCTCTGCCTACCCCTTCGGGGATAAAAGGTGTGGTGTTATGTTGTGTTATTTTTTATATTATTCTTAGTATAAGTCTTTAGGACCAGTTGATGAAGTTGTTTCTTTGTCAATATATATATTTCTGTATAGACTTTATCTGAAATTATTTGTTTTTAACACTCATGACCATGATATAAGAATGATCATTTTTTAGATCCTTTTAAAAACATATACAGGGTGACTTGGTAACTCGACGTATACCTCTTTGTCTCGCTCCCTCGTTTAGTTCAAGAGTGACCGTCACAGAGATGAAGAAGCGTGTGCGAGCATGTATTCATCATAGGGAAGGTCACTTTGAACAAAATTTGTAAATAATGATGTTTTTGAAATTGCTCGTTTTCCTTTACACTTAACTTATCATCAAGTTATTAATTTATTTTTGAGATTTTTATAACTATTTTAATGTTTTTGAGAAGCTAATAAACTAAGGAAGGTTTCCTAATAGTTTGTACGCTTAGTGTAATATATATTTTTTAAATAAATCAGTTTTCTAATGACTAAATTCGTGACACAACAAATTAAAACTAAAATCACTTAAATCAAACAAGTAGTTTTTTATTTATTGATGTTTTTGAAGTTCGATCAAGATTTTTTCAGCAAAACCTAAAATGTTGAATATCTCAAAAACTGGCCACTTTCGGACCAGAGACCTCAGGGCTAATTTTGTAGGAAATTATTTGTAATATCACCTCCCCAGAGGAATATGTGAAGAGACATGTCAACCTGTATTTAAAAAACTCCAACAGGAATAAGTAGCACCTATGTACTGTTATTTTATAAATGTGTTATCCTCTCTGCTGTTTGTGTGTACATAAATTATTAAATAAATAAATAAGTATTTTTTATTTACTAATTTAGTTATATGAATCATAAACATTTGATTTGCAAATTACCTGTATAGTATCAAGCTCAAACCAATTCACAATACTACCAAAAATCCAATAGTAATATAATTAAACATGCCTTATTTTTTTTAAGTCACCATCATTATCATTCCCTACCACTCAATTTTAAATAAAACCTCTTTTCCAAAATTTCAGATTACAAAAGGCAGTACACCGTCACTCAAGCGTCTAGCCAAAGAGATTCTGGGTATAGACATCCAATCCGGAGAGCACAGCTCCGTAGAAGATGCTAGAGCAACGATGCAGTTGTACTGTAGCGTCGCTCGGCAATGGGAGCCGACATTAGCTGACAAACGAGGCAAGAAAAAAGTTAGTGCGGATGATGAATAAGTGAAGAAAACAACCCATTCATTATTTTCAAACTGACTAACTGTTCAATCCCCAGCCATCACCATTGACTCCAATAACTACATTATAGTCCTTATTTCCGATGTTTATAGACTACTTTTGTATGAACAAATTTTTGGTACGATATATCAACTTATTAAAAAATGTCTAGGTAGTTCTATTCAACCGATTTGACAGAAAGGAGGTTGTTAGTTCGACTGTAATTTTTTTGCAATTAATTTGTTTGGAAATACAGTGAAACCTGGTTAAGTGAGACATCAAGGGACCTGCAATTTCGTTTCACTAATAGAGGTATTCCACTTACCCTGTGTCTCAGATATACAGATATAAATTAATATCTGTCTCATTTACAGAGGGTTCCATTAATAGAGGTGGACTTGGAATTACGTGTGGAATTTGTGGGTAGGATAAGAATGAGTAAACAAATAATGTTATCTCAGTTACAGAGGTTTATGCATATAAAATTTACTCGCTGTCTCAGTTATAGAGGTAACTATGACGATAAATCGAAAGAACAAATCCTAGATAGAGGTTTACCTCGTCCCACTAACAGAGGTAATTCAGTGCCAAAGTGTTGGGACCTCAGCATGAGTTCCAGTTATGGAGGTTTCTCACTTATCCAGGTCCCACTTAACCAAGTTTCACTGTACTCTCTTCTCCATCGCTTACTTCATTTCTGAAGGTCGTGCCCCTGAAAGGCTTTCATTGCTCTCTGTGTTATGTCCCTCCATCTTGTCCTGTTTTCGGCTTCTCTCAGGGCTTTCGTAACAGAGAGTCCAGTGTAGTTGGCAACTTGGTCACATCATAGGCTAGGTGATCGGCCACGTGGTCTTTTTCCTTCCACCTTATCAACAACAACCAATTCGTCGAGGTTATCTGACTGGCGGCGGGCAATGTGACCGAAATATCCAAGAATTCGCTGTAACATACGGTCGACAGTCTAGTCTTTATATTGCTATATTTGGAAATACTACAAAATCATAATTATTTTCTTACACATTTTTTTTATTTTTCCCACAACAGTTTTTTTTATTGAAATTTTGTATGACATTCTTAGCTTCAGGCAGATTAAATCTGAAGAGCGCTCTAGGCAAGCACCTCAGCGCGTATATAGTTAACAAGTTACATATTTTTTTAGACTTTCCCCACCCTGAGCCCCTGGCTGGCTACACTCATGTTCCTCGACACTTATACTGATTATAATGAAAGTTAAAGTTTTTAGCGCCATCTAGTGAGCACAATAGTAGTCGTTGCTACGATGTTGCTTATGACTATGGGCCCCAAGCGAAGCTTGAAAGTAATACAGTATTCTTGAACAATTACGCAAATTGCGACATAATTAATTTGATATATCTAACGATAGTGTCAAATACAATTCATATTGTATGATTTTGTGTAGATATTAAAATTAATATTGCCTTGTATCAATAGGTACTCGAAGTTGTAAACGAAAATGTGTTCCTTCGTTGACGTTGCATTATAAAATGAATATATTTTTATATTACGATATTATTGTTGTTTTATTGTCTGACGACCATCTGCCCGCGTCCCCGTGGGATAAAAAGGTAATATCAGCAGCAATAAGAAAACTTTATTCAACGAACTATGTACGGTTCAAGCGCAGTATCAGCCTGCCTATAAGGAAACCGGACACCCACTGTGTCTGGTTCAAATCCCTGACAGGACAGTGGGTACTTGGGTAGTTTCCAGGGTATCAAAATTAAAAATCTAATAAGTCCGTCAGTTAGAAAATGAAAAAATATAAGACACGTATTTTTTTATTTTCTCGTATTAAGTTGCAATACTTAGATAAAATGGCGCTAAGTTTAGGAGTGGGAGGTCGTTACGTCATAACGTGCTACAAAATGTGTCACGCTGTGACGTCACACGATATTTCAAATTAATATATCGTCGAAAGCGTTTAATTTTGTGAGAAAAGAAAAAATACGTGTCTAATGTTTTAAATTAATGTACCAGACGGACATTAAAACTAAATTTAGGAAACTACCTACTTTGGGGGGTTTGAGAGAATTATACCAGAAGAATAAGAATAAGAAGAAAAATTTATGAATTTAATTTTAATGTAAGAATTTCTAAAGTCTAAGTAACATCTTAAATACTTTTTTATACAACTATTGGAAACTGACTTCTGCCAGCGGATAAACAGTAAGTTAAGTGTAGAAGTTTTAAGTGTGGGAGAGCCATGCTTCGGCACGAATGGGCCTGCTCGACCGGAGTGATACCACGGCCGAGCAGAAAATCATCCCTGAATCCTAATCCCCAAAAGGCCGGTAACGCACTAGTAACGCCTCTTGTGTTCCAGGTGTCCATGGGCGACGCCTAATACTTACCATTAGGTGATCCGTCTGCTCGTTTACCGGCTTATGCCATAAAAAAAAGCCTATGTGTTATTTCAGATCCTAATCTATCCCTGTTCCAAATTTGAACCCGATCCACAACACAACAGATCAAGACGGCTGAAGCCGTCTTGATCTGTTGTCGGCGGTATTTCCGAACCGATACGACTTTCTAACCTTCATAAAAAGAGCGAATTCCTTTTTAAAACGCCAGCAACGGATCTGTGACTCCTCTGGTGTTGCGAGAGTTCATAGGCGGCGCTGATCGCTTACCATCAGGTGATCCATCTGCTCGTTTGCCTCCTAGTCTATTTAAAAAACACACATACACACCAACTCACGAACTATCGCATTTATAATATTAGTAATATAGAAAGATTGCCATTTATACTAATCACATCGCATTATCATCAACAGTCTATAAGTGCCAACTGCTGAGCAAAGCCTCTTCTCACACGAAGGAGGTATAAAGAACGAGTGAAAAAATATGACATTCTCTTCGTGCATCCTGTTGTTGACTCTCTTATATAAAATGTTTTTTTTTATGAAAATACTTATTTGCTGAATAGTGAATATGTTTATAGTTCTTCGTACCAATACTAGATAGCGCTACGGTATGTCAGTCATTCTTCCTATTCAATTTGTTCTTTTTTCTGCAATGTCAGGGAAAAACTAAATCAATTAATAAAACAAACACATCAAAACGAACTGCATTTTTATTATATAATATCTATTATTTTATTACAAATAGGTTACATTATTATGCCACTGTTAAAATTCAACTCTTTACATTTTACAATGCATGTAATTTTATATTATAATCTAGCATAGTTACTATTATAATCATTAATTTAAACAATATTTCGTTGCTTGCTCTTAAAATTTGGATGGAGACTTTATTACATATATCGATATTGGGAACTTTCTTTCTACAACAACAATAGATTTTTTGGTGTTTTATTTTTTTACCTTGTTTAGGCGCGAAAATTTGACAGGTAACATAAACAACATAGAGTAAAAAAATCAAAGAAACAGATAAGTGTAAATTATATTAAATATAGGTATCAACAAGTTTGGTAAGTACTTAACTTCGGCAATAAATAAGATTGATTATATTTTCAATTTATTATTAAAGGCACCGTTACACGTCATGCTCTAAAATATCAAGCTGAAGTCGTTTTGTTGAGCATGCTCAACAATTTTCAGAAATCGACTGCCTGTCAATTCGTTAACATGTTTTTTATTGAGGGGGAAAATGGAAAATTTAATGGCTTCTCCCGTCCAGGTGAGGCGAGACAGGAGTGTCTTGTACTGATTACCACCACCAACACCCCGTTCCTATTCCTGCACTTCGAGCCGGAGCCCCGGCAACCCGTTAGGTACTCCGCGGCTTAATTAATGAAAGTGTGATTATTTTTTAATATTTTATTGTATTGAACAGTCGAGATAATTTATTTTCCATTTGAGCATGCTTTTGTGCTTGTAAAGTTGAAATTAGCACGTGTAACAGTACAATAGGTACCTTGACTTTCAAAAAGAACTAATATTTACTTTGAATAGTTTAAAGCTTATTTACTACATTAAAACAATGCACCAACCCATCGATAAAATTCAAACGTAAAATGAGCATTGTCTTGTAACATCAATTTACTCTTATTTTTCACGATTTTTCTCGCTTTTATTGTTATACTAAATTACTTAAGGCATTTGGGCACATTATTTGGTTTCAAAAATCATTATTTAGCTAAACTGAACGTGAAAGAGAATTGGTAGGTAGTGAATTACAGCTTGGCAATAAAGAGTTTGACGCGGTGACAGCTGCAACTAATATAGACTTGGACTGAATCACCCACTTCGGACCACATCCCATGAATAAACAATCATCCGAACACAGTACCTCCTCTTTTTAAACTCGATAAAAATAACAAATATCAAAACCGGTTGTGTCGTAGTGTACCGGGTTGCCACAGGTACGATACTAGCGACCTCTATTATTACAAACTCTTTGCTAAGCTGTGATTAAAAAAAGATTTTTGCTAGTCACAATTTTTAAATATTTACAAATGAACCATGGGTAGCGTGGAAAGAGAGAAAGAAGAAATGTTTATTTGCACCGTCATAAAATACAATAATACGAAAAAAATGTTAATTAAAGAAAATAGTGAAGTCTACGCAAAAAGGCCAGCACTCAGCTAAAATGCCGTGACCCGAGCGCTGATTTTCAACACTAGCCCGTGGCTATATGCTATATACAATAAAATACTATTAAAAATACGTAGTTTAAGACTTTGACTGCCAATAAAAAACAGTTGAAGGTAAATCCTCCGCTAACGTCGGTCACCGGTTACCCCCCATGGTGTTTAACGTGTTAACGTATCACATTTTGTTATCAAAATACGTACATACATAACATCACGCCTTTTATCCCGAAAGGGTAGGCAGAGGTGCACATTACGGCACTTAATGCCACTGTAACACCCACTTTTCACTATTTATGTTATGAGTCCCATGTAATAGGGGGTGAGCCTATTGCCATATACCGGGCACAGTTCCAGACTCCGTGCTACCACTGAGAAAAACCCAGTAATACTTACTGCGACCACTCGGCCAATGAGGCAGTCAATGTTATCAAAATCTTTTTTATATATCCGACTAAATAGCTACTAAAGCCTACAGTTGTCCTGACCGTAAGAGGGCACCGTAGTCGAAATGCACGCTAGAGGTAACGTTGCAGATCATGTAGGAAACTTTTTAAGACCTTTGACTGCCATTAGAAAACTGTTGAAGACAAACCCTCCGTGAACGTCACTCCCGTCACCGGTGACTCCCGTGGCGTTAAACGTCAACCAAGCCCACCCTCAACCATGAATTGAATATTTTAAGACTTGGTTAGTTGCTATTTGAGTTACCTTAGAACTGTGACCATTAAACATGAAAATTAGGTCAA